AGTGAGTGCTTGCTCGAACTCGAAATAAAAGTAGCACGTAGGCTTAGTAGTCGAGTGAATGATTCGAACTCGAAGTAATGTAGCCCGTAGGCGTAATGGTCGATGAGTGCTTGCTCGAACTCGAAATAAAAGTAGCCCGTAGGCTTAGTGGTCGAGCGAATGTTTCGAACTCGGAGATTTATCTTAATTCTGTTTGCATAATAAATCTCAAAATAGAGGAATTTTTCTTGGATATAAGATATCGGTAAATAGGAGAACTTTCTTTGCAAGTCATTATACATGCATTCATGTTTTGCGTCAGGGCTCGGGCCAACTACATGAGCATGGTTCGTTTTGACCATTTGGCTCTTACAACTTTTCCTATTGGAACCCCGTTGTTGCGAAATAACTTCCTTGCATCAGAACTTGATATATTTGAGGGGCTAATGCCCCCCAATATTCGAGGTCGATTGTAAAGAGGCCTCGGATACTGTCGTATTGTTTCCAAGTACAGCACGATCATTGGTTGCCTTATTAAAAACCTTGCCAAAAAATCCATTTGGGATAAAACCGGTCTAAGGGAAAAAGAGTGCAACGCGTGCTTTCGGACCTAAGGCTTCATATTGAAGGATCCATCTTAGCTCCTGACCGGACTTCGCAGGGGTTAGTTTTGAAATGTAAATGAATATAGGAGGGCCGTACCTTAGCAGTAGTATCGTTTTAGATGCGACACATTCCAATTGCTTGATAGTTGTTTGCCGTTTATAATGCCGAGCTTGTATGATCCCTTTCCGACGTTTTCGAGAACCTGATATGGTCCTTCCCTGTTCGGTCCTAGTTTTCCTTCGTTTGGATTTCGGGTATTGAGGGTGACTTTCCTTAGCACTAAGTCCCCGGGCTTAAAATGGCGGAGCTTGGTTCTTCGATTATAGTATCTTTTGATTCGTTGCTTTTGGGCGGCCAATTGGACGAGAGCAGCTTCTCGTTTTTCATCTGATAATTCGAGGCTAGTGTTCATAGCCTTGTTATTTGATTCTTCTGTTGTATATCAAAATCTGGCACTGGGTTCGCCGACTTCGACTGGTATCAAGGCTTCAGACTCATATACTAAGGAGAACGGGATTGCCCCCGTACTAGATTTTGATGTTATTCGATATGCCCAAAGGACTTCGGGTAGGATTTCTCTCCATTTTCCTTTAGCGCCGTTCAACCTCTTCTTTAGGTTTTGAATGATAGCTTTGTTCGTTGATTCGGCATGTCCGTTCCCACTGGGGTAATACGGTGTTGATAATATCTTTCTTATTTTGTGGTTGTGAGCACCTAATTTTTGACTATATTTGAATTTTTATCACCTTCTACTATGTAAATATTTTTAGAAATTTAATATATATTTTTTAGCTTTGTTAAAAAATAAAAAAATAATTAAAAAAAAATCTGAAATTTTCGAATTTTTTTTCTATAAATAGAAGAGAAATGTGAGGAAAAAAAGGGGGAGAGAAGGAGAGAAAAAAAGAGGGAGAAGAGAATTGAGAGAAATTTATTTTCTTCTTATAAGATAAGGGAATTTCTACTTGTGTCATTCTTTCTTCGTCTTTCTTTCGAAAATCCAGCTTAAAATTTCAGCAAAAAACCAACACCTAACACCTCATCTTCCTCCATGAACTACCAACTGAAACTTACCCAAACACTAAAACAAAAGAGTTTCAGTCGAGGTTAGAAGCTCCGTCGAAGTTCTCGATACCGTTTCCGGTTGTGGTTAGTTCGTACAAAAGTCCATCAGAGCTTTGTTCATGTTGTACCGAAGAATATTTAGCTATTGAAAGGTCCATTTCTTGTTCTCCAGTTTTTGGATTCTAATTCATATTATGTTTGCTATAAGTTTGAATGTTTTTTTTCTGTTTTGCTTAAAGATTGATTCACGATTGGTTTACTGTTTCACTTGTTATTTTTTAAGGATATTTTAGTCTAATTGCTTACTGTTTTTAGTTTTAGTTAATTAGCATGCCTTGAAGTCCTTGGTTAATTCTTTTGGTGTTAAGACGTGAGTTTTGCTTCACCGGTGTCGTTATTTTGGAATGGTTATTAGTGCTAAGAATATGGGCTCAAAGCTTAATTGGTAAATGAATTATTTTCTAATTGGGCCATACACTAACATCTTGAAAGATGAGTTGGACATTCACATGAAATGATTGGGCTTTAGGAATTTCTTTTTAATGATAAGAACGATTGGATTAATTAATATATTACTATCACTTGGGGCATATTCTATAGATTATAAGATGAATTGAAAGAGCCTTTTGGTCATCAAGTACTAAATGATCCATTAGCAATTAAGACATGTCATCCACAAATAAATTCCATAATCTATGGCCTTCACAATAATCTCAAATTAGTTTAGGAAGATAGACTCATAAACATTTATAGCTTGCTTTAGGCGCGATTAATAAATCATCGTGACTATGGGTACGGTTCCCGTGGCATAGTCACGATATGTAAACCCTAACTCAAGTGCGCGTTTCACGCGACTTGACTTCAACTTCGAATAATAATAAAAATAAGCATGTTGTAAATCGCGGGTGCGTTTCACTGACGCGATTTGCAATATTTACAAAAACAAATGAGTGTGCGATATCGCGACTTGTACAAATAAGTTCCATAGATAATTAAAAGCGGTTAAAAGTTAAAAATGCACAATAGGTTTTAAGCATATATTAAATCAGATAATTAGGCCAATCATTAATAGTTGAGCGACCGTGCTAAAATCACGGAACTCGAGAGTAACTCACACCTTCTCCTGGGTTAACATAATTCCTTACACGGTCTTCTGTGTTCGCAAACCACAAAAATAGAGTCAAATTTTCTCGATTTGGGATTTAAAATAAACCGGTGACTTGGGACACCATAAATTATTCCAAGTGGCGACTCTGACTGAAACAAATAATCTCATTTCGAATAATATCACTTTAATTGGAAAAACTCCCCGACACCTACCACCTCGGGAAAAAGAAGGTGTGAGAGTGGTCTTCGAAGAATTTCGTCACTTTGCTGCCGACAAATTATTTTCCATTGTCACACACTATTTCAGCGGGTATCC